ATATTTAGCATCGGGTAGGTGGGCCAATCGTAATGACCAACGGATGCGGGTCGCCCGACGGGTACGAGAGAACTTGAAACTAATGTTCGGCGCATAGGATCTTATTTCGGAGCATTTCAAGCCTGTTCTTCGTATCGCATGCCATTGTTAGAGTCGCGCACTCGGAAAAAGCATAGCAGTAGTCGTATAAAAGGCGGGGACATCGTGGAAGCACCGCGATAGCATACACCTTATCGAACAGAGAATAGTGGACAATTCTGTTATTTTCGCTTTCTCGATAATCCACAAGCATTGAAATGAGTGTCGTTTCTATGCGCATTATGTTCTTTGTTGGTATTCGACGTGATAAAGAAGGACGCCGAGCTTGAAACGCTGCAAATGTAGTGAACGCCGTTCGTGCAAAGGAAGAAACTGCATCGCTTCTTTTGATAGTCATTCCTGACGCACTCAGATGCCGCCACCTATAGCCTGTAGTCAGCACAATGTACGTTTTGCTGATCGTGTGTTTCGGAGCAACGCTGCATCATCTCAATGCAATTGACAAATCGTACCTGACCTGTCGACCGTGACGGTGTAGTCTCCATCGACTCGGGCTCTCTGCCTGTCGGCAAGTGTCTTTGACTTGACAACAAAGTAGCCGCTGCCGAGCGAAGCCAGAGTGAACAAAGTCATATTGCGAGGACTGCAATCCAGAGTTAGCATCAGCTAGCTCGCTAGGTACAAGCTGAAGCTAGACAGCTCTCAATCAGCGGTCAACTTACGTGAGAAGTCTGGAGAGTTGAGACATGGTGTTGTATCTGGGATGTGTTCAGCTAGACGTGAATGTTGAAATGGGTTTACAATGTCAGCTTCCTCAGAACGCGGAGAAGTTGTTGAGACAGCGGAGAGGCTTCCGGAACAGTCGTGTGATGAATTTCCCCTCTCGAGGGTGACGCAGCTAAAGCTTCCCCAGATCGGGCTGCCGAATCCCTGCCCGTGCGTGCGATGACCTCCGCGGCGGTATCCAATGCACCCTCTTCGCCGCCGATCTGCCACCGCCCGGCAGAAAAAGTTCGAGTTCCGCAGCTGCAATTCCGCGCCGCGCGACTGCCCACCGCCTACACCAACACGCGCATCCCACCATGCCTCTCCCTAAGCGACAGACGATACCCGTAAAGGGCGCAAAGGCCAGCGCGCCTAAGGGTAGGTGGCTAATCACGCGACAGCTGAGCGATGCGCTAAAACTTATCTAGACGACTCGCGATTCGCAAATTTCGAAACCGATCCAAAATTCAGACTCCCCTCGAAGAAGCACACCAAGACTAAGCTTGACCCACGTTTCTCGCGATTAAAAAGCGACCCAGACTTCTACAACAAGGCTACGGTTGACAAATATGGTCGCAAGGTGGACAAGAAGGCTGGCAAAAAGGCCATTGACCGGTTATACGACGCCGATAGCGAAGACAAAGACGACGAAGACGAAGACGAAGATGAAGCCGAAGACGAGCCCGAGCTAGCACGTCCGGCCGACAAGAAGCGAGACAAGGCGGTCAAGAAGGAGAAGCAGAGGGTGGAGCAGCAAGGCTTCGACCCTATCCGAGACGGTGGACTAGAGTCTTCATCGGACGAAAGCTCGAGCGACGAAGAGGATGAGGCTGAGCTGGAGGAGCAGACCGAACTTGCCGGTGACGACAACGAAGTCCCGACGGGCGACATCTCGGCACGTCTGGCTGCCGTGAACATGGACTGGGATAACATACGGGCCACCGACATCATGGCCGTAGCAAACTCCTTCGTCCCGGCTGATGGACGCATTCTCAACGTTGTCATATACCCTAGCGAGTTCGGTATGGAGCGCCTACAACGGGAAGAAATCGAAGGACCTCCTCGCGAGATCTTTGCTTCGACGTCCAACAAAGACAAGAACAACATCAGCGCGCTCGACGACGACTCCGACGCTTCTGAGGTGGACGACGAGGAACAGAACAGGGAAGAGTTACAAGGAGATGAGACAGGCGAAGAGTTCGACTCCACAAAGTTGCGAGCCTACCAGCTTGACCGGTTACGCTACTACTATGCCGTCATCACATGCTCTTCCGCGAATGTCGCAAAGTCCATCTACGACAACCTTGATGGCCGCGAGTACCTGACGAGCGCCAACTTCTTCGACCTGCGATTCGTCCCCGACGGCACAACCTTCGATCAAGATCCCCACGACGAATGCGCAAAGCTGCCGGACGGTTACAAGCCTAATGAGTTCTCTACGGATGCACTCACACATTCAAAAGTCAAGCTGACCTGGGACGCCGATGACGCGACACGGAAGGAGGTACAAAAGCGTGCTTTCTCACGCAAGGAGATCGACGAGAACGAGCTGCAAGCATACTTGGGCTCTGACCAGTCGTCGTCCGAGGATGAAGAAGAAGCAGCTAAGATGGACAAAGCCGCAAGTCTCAGAGCGGCCCTGGGACTAGAGGCACCCGGCAAATCTTCGAAAACGAAGAAGAAGGCATCTGCGAAACGGGATCGCGACTTCCCAAAGCCGGATAGCGAGATGCAGATCACCTTCACGGGAGGCCTTTCTAGCGGAGCGGGCAACGGTGACGTGTTCGAAAATGACATCCCACTGCAAGAGACTACCATGGAGAGGTACGTTCGAAAGGAGAAAGAAAGGAAGGCGAAACGTAAAGAGAGGTGGGAAGCCAAGAAGGCTGGACGCGATCCCGACGCACCAGTCGAGCCGGAGGCCGATGCGCCAGCGGCTGCGGACGATGACGATCCGTTCAACGATCCTTTCTTTGCTTCTGATCCTGAAGAAGCTGCGAAGGCCTCCAAGCCCAAGTCGAAGAAGTCTGAAAAGGCCAAGAAGAAGGCGGAGCAAGAGGAAAAGGATCAGGCTGCGGCAGCTGAGCGAGCGAACCTGGAACTACTTATGGCGGATGAAGACGATTCAAAGCTGCGTCACTTCGACATGAACGAGATCGTCAAGTCAGAGAAGGCTAAGAAGAAGGGCAAGAAAGCGAAGAAGAACGCTCCAATCTTAGAGGACAAATTCCAGATCGACACCACCGATCCCCGTTTCGCCAAGCTATACGAGAGCCATGAGTTTGCCATCGATCCCACAAACCCGAGGTTCAAGGAGACATCTGCTATGAAGGCGCTGCTAGAAGAGGGCCGCAAGAAGCGAAAGCAAGGCAATGAGGACGATGAGCCAGATCATCAACGAGGGATGAAGAAATCTAAGCAAGATGCTGCAGATGGTGAGGACGACATCAAGAAGCTGGCTGCTCGTGTAAAGGCGAAGAGCAAACAAAAGTGAAGTAGGTTCTATAGATAGAATGTGATACCCAGCGAACGGCCTATACTAGCCATCCTACGCAGGATCTGCGCTCGATACGTGGACTTTTTGTTGTTTCAGGGTGTCTCAGGTTGCGTTCAACACGAGCTTCGGTGATAGCTCCTTCCTTCCTACTACCTATGCTTGCTTCGGGATGACACGTGCGAAGCCGGCAAACTAGTGGCCCTGGTTCACCTCGACCACATCGGCGCCTCTCTCACACTCTCAACGCTTTCTCCTCACCTACCTAAAGCCCTCCCATCTTCGCATACATCTATCACTAGCATTTTTCGAGGGGTCTCGCAATGCCCTGTTTGGGCAATTCACACAACCTTGTACCATTGCGGTCGCGGCTCTCAGATCAGTGCAAGTCCAGCTGTAAACTTCCGATCAGTGCATGGCACCTCCATGGGTCACATTCGATAGTATTGCGACCTGGGATGGAGATTGTGCCAATGGAGCGGAGCCAGACATTGCTGGCGTCGGTGTAAGTATTTCAGATCATCCTTTCTAGGCTCAGGCTGACAACACTGCAGGTCGTCTTGTCTTTTGTCATTGCAAGCTTCATGACCACGTTCGCGTCCATCCTCGCTATGCTTCTCGATCAAGCGTTCGATACGAAAGGTCACTTCACGCCCCGAGCGCCGCTCACATACATTCGTGAGCGCTTCTTGGAGAACGAGTGGAAGAAGCATTACGCGTGGCGTCCATTTCTTGACCCACTCATCATCGGGTTCGGTGACCAACAGCTTATCACGGGCTATGCTGTACTTCTGAGCGGATGGATCAAAGTACGCTCGGTTTCCCATCGAGATGTCCCATGCTGACACAACACAATCAGGTGGCTCAAGGCTCTTTCCGAGTGCAAGGTTCCCACTTCGTTCTTATCCTCTACGTGTGCGCGCTATCATCCTCCTCTCACCTCGCCGCCCTGATCACGCTCCGCAAATACTTCCGCAAGTACAAGCTCATTGCGAAGATCCGCCTCACACTCGTCGTATTCTTTGCTGTTTTCCTACTCACATCCATGATTGCCGCGATCGCCATGCCGCCGATCCTTGTCGAAGGCGACGATGGCACATCCATGGTACGAAGTCGTGTACAGAGGCTTTCATTCCTGGTACCTCTATTCCTCATTCTCGTCGGCTTCTCAACAGCATTAGTGTGCATTCTGTACGACCCAGAAGGAAGAGGACTGGAATCACCGTCATCGTCGTCTTCGGAGAGGTCATTACAGGCCCTTGTACGTCGATTTACAGACCCGACACAAAAGCAGAAGGGCTTCTCGCTTCGAGCACTTTCCCCAGCGCGGCTTGGCCTACAACTCATATATTATCTCTTCCTAAACCCAGCGATCACCTTTGTAGTTCAGATCCTACTTGCCATATTGTCCGCCATCTTGGTGCTTACGCAGAAGTTTGCAAAACCAGAGGATCCGGAAGAGTTCTGCGGACTGCAAGATGAAGAGGAGAATGTCTGGGGGTTCGGCCAGACTTTGAGCGTGGTCATGCTTTTGTTGCCAGCTATAACAGCTTTGCAAACGTACCTCGAGGCGCGACAGGATATCAAGAAGGGCTTTACTAGAACGCACGATTGAGCTGGTAGGCCAGATACTCGATCCGAGACTACTTAACATTAATAACCAACCATTATTGCACCGCGACAGTCTTCCATATGCGATTATCTACAACTTTGCTGCCTTTTCATCCTTCTCCCGAAGATACCTCACGGCAAACTCAATAGCAGCTTCATACCCAAAAACACCCAACCCACAGATAACCGCCTCGGCCTTGTCACTCAGATAACTATGATGTCTAAACGCTTCCCTCCTATGCACATTACTGATATGTATCTCAACAAACGGTATCTCGACACCCGCCAACGCATCTCGCAACGCCACGCTCGTATGTGTGAAAGCGCCTGGATTAATGACGATGAAGTCGACGTTGCCACGTGCCTCATGTATGCGATCGACAAGGACGCCTTCGTGGTTCGATTGGATGTGAGCGAAGTTTGTAGATTGCGCGGTGCATTGTTTGTGTGCGGAGGCGATTACGTCGGAGAGGGATGTGGAGCCGTAGATTGTGGGTTCGCGCGTGCCGAGGAGGTTGAGGTTGGGGCCGTTTATTAGGAGGATGGATTTGGTCATTTTGAGCTGTTTGGGTGGGAGATATGTGCTAGGGAGATGATTGTTGACCCCAAGAGACTTGATGATCGCGGTCGTGGAGACTGTCGAGATGCGCTGGTGTTATGCGTCTATGGCAACGACGGGAAGGTCCACGGGTGTGTCTGTCGCGTCGCGTGGGTAGGCCCACCTTGACATGTTTCATTCCGAGGTTCCGATGGCTCTCGGAACATTGGGAAGGGGAAAAGTCCTTACCCCCCACCCCTAACGATCGGCCTTCTTGCCCTCAGTTGCGAGCATGACGTCCCACTTCCCTACATACAGCTATCAGGTCGCTTTCCGCTTCTAGCCGGTACGGTTCCAGACGGAGGTTTTGAGACGCGATTCGTTCTGGCGCGTGTCGGTCGCTATGGCGTTACTTCTTAGCCAAACATCTACCTGACATGTACACAATACCTGCGATCAACATGATGGAAATATCGAGAGAAGAGCTAGATGAGATCTATGCGTTTGCTGTGCAGCTGGGACGGCAGGCGGGCAAGATGCTCATGGATGCTGCGCAACTGCGGATAGAGGGTGGGAATGCGACGGGACAGGATGAACATGTTCAGAAGGAGAATGCTGTTGATCTGGTTACCGAGACAGATGAAGATGTTGAAGCGTTTATCAAGAAGGCGATAGCTGACAAGTACCCTCAGCACAAGTATGTCCTTGACTTTAAACCCGTCTAGCCGCACACGTTAACGTCCAGTAGATTCGTCGGCGAAGAATCCTACAGCAAAGGCTCATCTCGCGACTACCTAATCGACAACTCTCCAACATGGTGTGTCGACCCGCTCGACGGAACCGTAAATTACATCCACCTCTTCCCCATGTTCTGCGTCAGCATCGCCTTCATCTACAAGTCCAAACCGCTCATTGGCGTTATCTACGCGCCGTTCACGAACCAATTCTTCTCTTCCTGCGCCGGTCGCGGCGCCTTCTTCAACGAAACCCAACGTCTCCCACTCGTCCGCAACCCCATACCACCTATGCCAGAGAAAGCGCCTAGCGGGTGCGTCTTTTCATGTGAATGGGGTAAAGATAGACGGGATACGCCGGATGGCAATATGCATCGCAAGATTGAGAGTTTTGTTAACATGGCAGCTGAGATTGGGGGAAGGCAGGGAAGAGGAGGAATGGTACATGGAGTCAGAAGTTTGGGGAGTGCGACGCTTGATCTGGCATATGTTGCTATGGGCTCGTTTGACATTTGGTGGGAGGGAGGCTGTTGGGAGTGGGATGTCGCGGCGGGCATTGCTATATTACAAGAAGCTGGAGGTTTAGTGACTACAGCAAATCCACCAGAGGACTGGGCTAGCGCGCCTATAGAGGAAGTGAGGTTGGGAAGCCGCTTATATTTGGCTATCAGGTAAGTCGGTATTGCAGTAAACCAGAGCGAGGCGTATGCTAATGTTTCGTTACAGACCTGCGGGACCATCACCCACGGAGACAGGTCGACAGAGTCAAGAGAGGACAGTCCGCGAGGTATGGCGGCGGGTACGCAACCTAGACTACTCGCGGCCCGGAGCTTAGCGACTTGCAATTCTACCTTTTCCAAGTTGACTCACGACTTGCATATTCACTCGCGCCTTGCATGTCATGTGTGTATGTCCAATTCCATTAACATCTACAGCCTTGCTTCGTTCAACTTTCTGGCGATCGCCTCCTGCACCTGCACCACCGGCAGATCCGCTACGGCTTTCCCTGTCCAATACCGGTCTTGTTCCAGACCCTGATATATCAGTGCCTCTGTCCCTAGCACGATCTGCCAATCGTTTTGTTTTCCTACCTCCGCAATCTCCGTCCATGTCGTGGGGTGGTAGCACATCTCCAATAAAGCTCCCTTGTGCGACTTCGCAAGGAAGCATTCGAGGACTTGCCGCGCCTCGATTTCGGCAGGTGTGACGGGTGTGAAGTTCGGTACGCAGGCTACGATCGCACCGACACCTTCGAGGCTTTGTGCTTGTGAGACGGATGAGACGTGGACGAGGGAGTCGCCGTAGCCGCGGGCTGTGCACTCTTCGATGACAGCAGCGACTTCTGTGGGATCTCTGTTGACCTAGAGCGGGTTTGTTAGTACCAACTTAAATCTTTCAGGAATGTTTTCGTCCGGTTGCTCACAAGATATATGGCACTGGCCTTCATCCACTTCCTCAGCGCATACACGGCGCTTCTCGCTGCGCCGCCTCCGCCGATCACTAACGCAGGTCTGTTCTCAAACTTCGCCGGATCCACGTTGTATGCGAAAGCATCTCTTATCCCTATGACGTCGGTGTTGGTCCCCATGTATAACCGGTTCCCTGACGCGTCTTGTTGGATGAAAAGTGTGTTGACTGCGCCTACGTCCCTTCCCTCTTCTGTGAGGCCGTCGAGGTGTTTTAGTATGGCGACCTTGTGGGGCATTGTGACCGAGGCGCCTACACTATTGTTAGTCATATTTACCAATATGGTTGCTTGATGTATTGCGCATACCGTAGAATTGAGGATGCTTGATCAATTGCAGGAACAGACTCATGTCTCTTGACTCCAGAGGGTATTGAGCCCAGTTCAATCCAAGGTTGTCGTACACGGTCTTGTGTAGTAAAGGCGACATTGAGTGGGCGATCGGGTGACCAAAGAGGTAGCCATGGCGCTCGGTTTGCGAGACTTCTGGTATGCTGGTTTCGGTAGACATGGTGGGTGTGAATGTCGTGTGCTTAGGAGACGAGGATGAAGCTTGGGGAGGTTTGCCGTTCTGGTGACGCCTGATGCTCTTCCAGATATTGGATCCTCGGAAAGCGGGTATTCGGGGTAGAAGGCGAGCGCTCCATGATTACGTCCAACGCATGCGCCGGTACCCCAGATTCAACGCGTTGGGGACCGGAAAAAGTCATATCGCGCGTGGAGGAGACGCGAGTCAAGCGCGTGCAGGCTATGCGACGGTCCGGTGTGCGACTGACAGCTGTGTCCTTCTTCCAATCAGCGAAGATGCCCCGGCCACTAAACCTCGCGTGTAAATGCGTTTCCGGGCCCTGCAGCATCACCAACCCTGTGGGTAATTCCTTCACTTCCCAACTAGGCATGACCGGCGCGAAAATCCAGGTCCCTAGGAACGGTCTGGGGTCGGCGAGAGCATGGTTCCTCTCCGCAATTGCACAATGTTCAATTCTTCCTGGGGGTGCTTAGCGATTCTTCCGGGCCAAGCTCAGCATCAACCTTTCTGCGAACTGGACGGCCAATGAGCACATGCGCAACTGCTTGACACCTTCATAGCTCATCTCCATGGGGTTTGTGGCGTTTTCTCCACATACTCCGCAAAACAGCACGTTGCCGGGTTCCTCTCGGTCGGGATATATAGGTGTAGGCCGATCTTCGTCCATTGAAGTACTCCTCATCTCGCCCAAGCTACGCCTACCTGTCTGGCTAGCAACCTTCATCGGTGCCATCTGAGTCCATCACTTTGGATTTCCTAAGGCACATCGGATCACTTCACCAACATGGGTCTCCTTACCATCGTCGAAGATCGACCAACACCAAAGGCGGTCTACAACTGGAGAGTCTACACAGCAGCATGCATTGCATCATGGGCAGCATGCATGATCGGCTACGACAGTGCCTTCATTGGCACGACTTTGGCCCTGCCATCCTTCGTTGAGGAATTCCGTTTTGCGGAGATGGACCCCGCCGAGTTGAATCTGACGAAGGCCAACATCGTCTCGGTGTACCAAGCTGGTGCATTCTTCGGAGCTTTTGGAGCGTATGCGTCCAGTCACTACATTGGCAGGAGGAAGTCGCTCATTCTATGGGTACTCATTGTGAGTCACCCGAGTACTTTACCGATATACTGGGGCGAATACTGACATACCCAGTTCATTTTGGGTGCTGGCATGATGCTGGGTGCCAACGGCGACCGAGGCCTCGGTCTGATCATCGGTGGTCGTGTACTAGCAGGCCTGGGAGTTGGTGGATGCAGCAACATGGTTCCTATCTACATCTCCGAATTATCCCCACCAGCTGTGCGCGGACGACTGGTCGGTATCTACGAGCTCGGCTGGCAAATGGGAGGTCTCGTTGGATTGTAAGTTATGCAACCTGGATTCCGTTCGACAGTAACACGTACTAACACACTCATAGCTGGATCAACTACGGTCTTCAGGAGACAATGGAGCCTTCCCACAAGCAATGGATCATTCCGTTCGCTGTGCAACTCATTCCTGCCGGCTGCCTCTTGCTTGGCGCCTTCTGGATGCCGGAATCACCTCGATGGTGTCTGACCAAGGGAAAGCGCGAACAAGCACTGAAGGACCTATGCTGGATCCGTAACCTTCCCCAAGACCACACATATATTATGGAGGAGCTCGATGCCATAGATGCTCAGGTCGAACATGATAGAATCACCGTCGGACCTGGATTCTGGAAGCCGTTCCTTGCGCTCAAACAACGCAAGGTACAATACCGTATCTTCCTTGGTGGCATGCTGTTCCTTTGGCAGAACGGATCCGGTATCAACGCAATCAACTACTACTCTCCAACTGTCTTCAAGAGTCTCGGCGTCACAGAAGGCTTCCTTACCACTGGTATCTTCGGTGTCGTCAAGTGCGTTCTGACCTTTGTCTGGCTCATCTGGCTCATCGATCGTCTCGGCCGCACTAAGCTTCTCATGTTCGGCGCTCTGGGTAAGTCTTCAATCCACCAACAAGATACGAACCATTTACCTGACTACTTAACCAGGTGGATCTTTGTGCATGTGGTACATCGCTGCCTACATCAAGATCGCTGACCCAACGAACAACAAGAACGCCTCGGGCGAACTCTCCTCCGGCGGTATCAGCGCAGTCTTCTTCTTCTACCTCTGGACCGCCTTCTACACCCCTTCGTGGAACGGTACTCCATGGGTCATCAACTCTGAGATGTACAGCCAGCAGACCCGCTCCTTGGGTCAAGCATTCGCTGCGGCAAACAACTGGTTCTGGAACTTCATCATCTCTCGCTTCACACCCCAGATGTTTGCCACCATGGGCTACGGCGTATACATGTTCTTCGCATGCCTCATGCTGCTCTCTATACCCTTTGTCTTCTTCTTGATACCCGAGACAAAAGGAGTCCCGCTTGAGCGCATGGACGAGCTTTTCACCATCAAGCCCGCTTTCAAGGCGCATGGTATCCTTGTGGACAGGATGAAGGAGAATGAGGAAGTAAACTTGACGATTAGGGACGAGAAGGCAAGGGCAGATGAGCATACTGAGATGGCTTGAGTGCTATGTAGTAACACGCACTCGTAGCCGCGTGCAAATGAATGTATCATGATCAATAAGCATCACCTGAGAGTTCTTCAATATCCGCCCTCATGACTAGATTCTTCGTGATGTGCACTGTTCAGGACATTCCAAGGACAGAAAACGGTTACAATAGCGATTCCTGGTTGCCTGCATGGGCACTCGAGTTGCAGCACTGGACTAGGGGCCAGTCTGTTGGCAAGTCTCCAGTGCAGCCGAGGTAGACTTATCACTAAGGTCATTGGAGTATTTTTTGAGATAGCCAAAGACAATGTGAACGCGAACCGCGAGTCCAACCAGCGACCCCAATGACGTCATAGCCCCTACAGCATAGAGGGCGGTTTGGCCTTCCGCAACATGAGAATCAACGCCTTCACACGTGTCGGCTATGTCGGCTCGAAACCGTTAATCATTACCGGCGGGAAGAAGGCTTTCTCCACGTGCCTTCGACCCCGAGCACGCGGTCGCGCAGAAGAGTGAGCGCCTCTAGCTTAGCTGTCAGGTCGGTGCGGACTCTGCTTTCGCGCTGGCCGTTGATGATGCATTACTGCAGGTGCTTAAATTACACAGCCGGACAGTTTCGCACGCCCGGGTCACTAGAAGTGTCGGATCTTTCTTATTGACAGAGTGGTCGTACAGAGGTCAACCAACCGATGATATCCATGGATACTTGCGAAAAACCACCGGCGTCCAAAACTGCCCGCTGCGCTTCTACGGCCTTTTGCAGCAATAACGTCTAGCTGCTGGTACGAGACTGTGGATTTTCACAGCGTGTGGCTCACTAGAACGTTTAGAAAGCTGTCATAGAATACCTCTCATGTGTTTTCCCATAGCGCGCCTTGGCTTGGAGATGCAAGAGTGATACGGCCCATTTTTCGATCGGGAACCGATGACCGAAGTGGCGCGATGCACCTGGCCACGGGTGTGAGCTCTTTTCCGCCCGGCTAGCGCCGAACCCCCATCTGCACCACCAAGATGTCACCAGGCTGGGCTTGCCTACTGCTTGCCACGGCACATCGCGGTTGCGTAAGGAGTGTGTTTCATTTTCCAACATTATTCCGGGATGGCGAGCGACAAGTGCTCATCGAGCGTGATTGGACGAGGAAGGTTCAATGCGTATGTGCATGGTAGGCAACGGTCGCAGGATGCGTTGATCAGGATATCGGTGGGTTATGAACGGCCTTGAATGTACGCCAGCTGCTTATAGATATGTTATCAGCTTCACAAGTATGATAGCTAGCCTCTCAGTATTCACACTGTAGTTCCACCTTCACATTACCATACTGCATATTACATACGCCTCCATTTCTATCTTCTATCCTCCATATTCTATCTTCTATCTTCTATCAGCATTATGCCGTGCCGCCCAGGTATCTCCTCCATGTCGCTAGGCCGATGCTACGCTGGCCACAGCCTCGAACACAAACTCTCCATGGCGGCGAAACACGGACTAGAGGGCATCGAGCTCTTCTACGAGGACCTAGTCGATCATGCCGGGTCCGACAAGCCATCCGACCTACTGGCTGGCGCTGCCTCAGTCTACGATCTTTGCTCTTCCCTGGGCCTGGAGATCATATGTCTGCAGCCTTTCATGCACTATGAGGGTCTCTTGGACAGGAAGCGACACGCTGAGCGGGTCGAAGAGATGAAGCTTTGGATGCAGCTAGCGCATGTCCTCCGAACAGACATAGTCCAAGTCCCTTCGTCGTTTCTACCCCCCAACCAGACATCCTCCGATACAGACCTCATCGTCAGTGACCTTCGAGAGATTGCAGACCTTGGGCTGCAACAGACACCAATCATCCGATTCGCATACGAAAGCCTAAGCTGGGGAACACACGTTGACAAATGGGAAGTGTGCTGGGATATCGTACAACGTGTTGATCGATCGAACTTTGGCATCTGCCTGGACAGCTTCAACATCCTGGGCAGAATATATGCAGACCCTACCGCCGAATCTGGAAAGGTCGTAGGAGCTGATCAGGCAGTTCGCGACTCGATACAACGACTGGTCGCCCAGATAAACCCTCACAAAGAGAAGATATTCTTCATCCAGATCGTCGACGCCGAGCGTCTCGCACGACCGTTGCTTCCCGGTCATCCCTTCTACAACGCCGAACAGCCAGCCCGCATGTCTTGGAGCAGAAACTGCAGGCTGTTTTATGGCGAGACTAGTCGTGGGGCGTACTTGCCCGTGAAAGATGTCACACGTGCCATCATCAAGGACATTGGATTCGAGGGCTGGGTCAGCATGGAGTTGTTCAATCGAGTCATGAACAGAGAGGATAAGGGGGTCGTTGAAGAATTGGCACAGCGCGCTGCGGCCGCGTGGCATGCCATGTGCTGTGATCTGCAGCTTGGTACTGGTGCGGTGTATGATACATTGGCGCCTATGGAGAGACCGCGAAACGAAGTAAGTAATGTGGGACAAGCCGAGTATGCGCGGCTATGAGGTGGAAGCTGATGTGGTTTTCTTGTTCAATTTCCTGTGCTTCTTATCGTTTGACAGTCTATATGTAGAAGATACCCAACAATCGAGCATCGTTCCTAAATGCGACGCCCAAAATGATGAAGGCATTTGTCTTGACTCTGCTGTTCTGGACTTCTTGAATAGCTAGGCATTGCCTACTTTTTGAAGATAAGAGCCTCCAGTCGGACTCACCCAGCATCGTAGAAAGTGTTGAGCGGGAATTGAGGAGATTCCTCGCTGTTATCTACGCCTAGGTTCGATGCAGTAGGCATGAAACGGCCGGTATCAGCCGCCAATAGATCGGCCATGCTTACTTCCGATGAAAATCCGAGGTTCTCCATAAACTGCGGTTGGTTTTGTAATTTCTTGGCACCATGCTTTGAAGCGAAGTCGTCGAGGAAACTTCCCAAATCACCCGAGACTAAAGCATTATAAGGATCATGGGGGTCGAAGATCGGGCCGGTCATTCCGAAATCGAATAGATTGGGTTCGAATGGTTGCAGACTGTGACCTGCATGGCTAACGTTCATATCTGGATGGACCATAGTAGACTGGTTGGGCGGTTGCTGGTACCGATCGGTGAACGGACCGCTATGTTGTGAGACGAGAGACTGCGGGGAGGTCTGAACGATTCCAGAATCTTCCGAAGACGCGTCTCTTAAAGTGACCGATACCGATCGCAAACCCGATGATGCTCTCTCGGAAGTCTCTTGTGATGAATGGCCAAGAGCGGCAAATAACTCGTGAATTCGATTATGTGTCTGTTGATCCAGATTCAGACTATTAGTGCTTCTCTTGATACTTTGTAATAAGCAGGTGATGACTGCTGGCATTCTTGTGACCCCAAGCTGCTGTTTTAGGATGTTTAACATGTCCAAAATCTGCTGAAGCCATGCCTGAGATGGAACCAGAGTAAACGCAGTGACGAGATAAGTGAATCGGAGAAGCAATGCAGGTGGGGTCGGTGGTGTAGAAGGTGGATCTTTCCGAATGTAATCGAGTTTTGGTGGTAACGCTGACTTCCACATCTCAAGTCGGCCAATCATCTCATGTAGAAAGTTTGGCGCTGTCCGCTCCATAGACGTACATCGGAGAATGTCAACCAGTTCCATGAGAGCGTTGAATGTGCTCAAAGCGAGTGTCGGAGAGTTTGACAGACGTGATGGACCAAGATTGAGATGGCCACCCCATGGCTGCCATTCTTCCATGCCATCTTCCTCTATCTTGCCCATCCACGAAATATCGGCCCTGTCGAGGTACGGGCGCCGTTTGAGATGTAAGGCCAAAAGACTGTCGAGCACAAAGCAACTCGAGATAACATGCTTGAGCCGAAGTGTAACAGCATCTGGCGATTCTGCAAGCATGAGGGCTAGTCGTAAAGCACCGCCGACAAGATGCCAAGCAGCATCGAATAATTTCCCATGAATGTTGAACAATGCTAGGTTGAGAAGGGCCTTGACATGACCTAGTTCGAATTTGCCTAGCTCGTTGGGGATAAGTTGCCTCGCGATGTCGTAAAGTCTTCCGGACGGCCATGGATGATAGCTTTCTCCTGCGAGACTCGCGTCATCATGCGTAGAGCCGACTGCAAATACACTCCACATCTCTGCGTAACTTCCCGAGTTGGACATATCGCTTGACAGAGCCAAACCTTGTTCCGCATAAGAATACGAGAGTTTGAGGATCTCAAGCTTGTCTGCGATGGGCAACCAGCATTGTGTATACGTGCAGTATATCTCGATCAACCTCCAGCAGTCTGTAGGCAGGGGGGTAAGGGTAGAAGAGCCTGCAGATTGCTGCAGACGCGGAGAATGAAGGTCCGGTAATGGAGGTGGGCGCATAATCTGCGGCATGTAGTTCGTGTCACTTTGCCATGATATCTGCATAAGTCAGCACTCATCAAGATAGTCACATAGGGCTAGTACCGAATGCTGAGACTGAGCTTTTGGTGTCATCTGGAGAAGCGTGGCATCTTCAGTGTCCACCTCACTGTCTTCGTCTGAACTTGGCGGCCTGTCTTCGCTTGCTCCTATCTGCTCTCCAGACAATGCTTTGGTGACATCTCGACAAAACCTGCTCTTGGTCCAGCTCTTGTGTAAACGATTCGAGTCTTTAGTACCCCTCGCTAGCAAGACCGTATTCTCCTGGGCCAGTTGCTCGTGTACTGAAGTCTCAATCTCAGCGTGCTGTTGGAAAATGAAGGCCAGTGTCATTTCAAGACTGCGTATGTAGCCGGGCTGGAGCCCTCGCTTCTTCGGGTTTGACGTGTATGTACACGTGCGCTTGGCATCCAGACAGGGAGAGCAGCTGGGCTGGTTCGCGTCACATTTCTCGCGGGCATTGCGACACTGATCGCAAGCTCTTGATACCCGAAACCGTTTTACTGGTATGTCTTGTGTGGCCTGGCGGCGTTTCTCCTGGGTTTGCAAAGACATTCGTTCGGCAGCGATCGTTCGCCGTCGCACAAAGAACACGACAACGCCTCATAGAGCCTTACCGAAAGAGCAGATTGGTGATCACCCAGATATGGGGTGGTCGAGCATCTTGCTAAAGAAGCCATCGAGCTTACCTAGTGAGGCACTGGAGAAAGCCGGGGAAGCGTCTGCACACCAGGATAAAGTTTTATCCCCGTGGAAAAGCGGGGCGCATCGCTATCACGTGTTTCGCTAAGGCACTCGTCGCTGCCAACTGCGGCACCATGTTCTGCTTCATGTTGTTGACATCTGGGAACTACATTTTTCATATTTCAAGTCCCGTAAACAATGGCGTCCATGACGGTTGGTGCGAAGCGTTCATTTGCTGCAATGAACACGGAAACCGGAACGATGGACGGGCGAGCTTCGCTGCCAACACCATCTCCGCCGGCGTCCAAACAGCGAAGTCTACCGAATTCGGCAAGGTCAACACCAGCACCCACTCAGTACGAATGCCGAAGAATGTTTGACTCCCGGGCGTCTATCGTGCTCATTGGCATGCATGGCACAGGAAAAGCAACATTGGCAATGATGGCTTCAGTAGCCTGTCAGCGCAGGGTCATCGACATGGAGAGTGTCTTCCACACTGCAACAGGCTTCTCGACCGCTGCGTATCGTAAACAGTTTGGATCTTCGAATCGTAGTCTCCGGCAGGAGGAGATTCTACGCGACACATTACAGAACCACAGCAGAGGCGCCATTATCGTCTGCAACGGAGGATTTCCGCTGGATAGCAGTAGCCAAGCTCTACTGCATGAATTTTCGGCATCGCACCCAGTAATACACATTACACGAGACGTGCGCGATGTACGCGAATACTTAGACACGGACGAATCCAAAGTTCGAGAGTTGCTTGCTCTCAGTACTCCGGTTTTCCGGCGATGCTCCAACTACGAGTTCTACAACATATCCGAAACGAACGCAGCTCACCTCTCGGTTGCACCAGCACACCAGCCGTCTGTGCCAGCATTCCTGACGCTAAAACGAGCGGAAAGAACTTTCTTCAAGTTTTTGGCACTTATCCTATCTCCCACGAATACCCGCAGAAAGATCAAGAGTGACGCGCCAACGCTCGACCCTGGTCACTTCCCATTATCGTATGTCGATTTGGAGCTTAGGAATTACACATGCGCCGTTCAGGTTGAACTATCAGATCTTACGCCTGAAGAAGTCGACATTGAAGAGCTGGAATTTGGCTGTGACGCATTCGAGATAGTCGTTGAACCCGCACAGCTTACAGCGGATCACGCGGAGAACATAAGCAAGAGTATATTCAGAGTGCGAAGGAGTACCGTGACCCCGATAATGTTTCACACGATGCCTCCTTCAGCACATTCAGGCCATTCCACAACGTCCTACCTGGCAAACTTGTGGTACGGTCTGCGAATGGCACCTGAGTTCGCCACTGTGGATCTTACCATGGACGAGGAGCTGATCCGCGCAATCGTTGCGTCGAGGGGCTCGACCAAGATAATCGGCCACCTTCACGCAGCCATGGACTGGTACGATGTATTCTGGCTCGAGAAATACGATACAGCAATGCGATTGGGCTGCAGCCTGGTACGCTTTACCCGGCCAGCGAACTTCATGGACGATAACGCCGCCATTCAATCATTCCGCAACACTATATACGCCAAGTCACCGAGAATACCCATAATATGTTATAACACCGGACGCGCTGGCCGGCGTTCTGCTTGCTTCAACCAGGTTCTGACCCCTGTGATACCAGAAAAGCTACGAAAGAGCGCAGATTTTGAGACCAGAGCACAAAGAAACCCAGAAACGTCATGGCTTACTGTGACAGAAGCTACGCATATTCTATATGCTTCGTTTACATATGACCCTATGGAGTTTTACATCATCGGGGCCGCAGCGGGATACAGTCTTAGCCCTGCTATGCACAATGCGGCATATCGAGCATGTGGTATGCCTCACCACTTTGACCGCCTCCAAACTGCGACACTGGACGAAAACATACGGGAGTTGATACGACGGCCAAACTTTGGCGGCACTGCAGTCAGCCAGCCATTCAAAGTGGATGCGGTTGCTCTCTCTCACTCGCTAAGTCGCCACGCTCGAGCGATTGGAGCAGTCAACACGCTTCTCCCAATTCGCCACCTCAACGAGGATGGCAGCATTCCCGATGCGGATGGCGTTGAGCTCTACCAGGAGCGCAATCAATCCGGACCTGTCAAAGCGCTATTTGGCGACAACACGGATTGGATAGGCATCCGATCTTGCATACGAAGAGGTCTGTCTCCCGCTAATGCTGTGCGGCCAACAACCACTTCCAGCCTGGTCATTGGGTCAGGAGGTATGGCTAGGGCGGCGATATATGCCATGTTGCAGCTTGGCATCAAGAACATCGTGGTCTTCAACCGAACAGTCAAGAATGCGCAGAAGCTAGTCAGCTACTTCTCCGCATTAGCTGCAAGCCCATCGGCGGCAAAGCTCTTCCCATCGTTCGTCCAGGGATCTCAACCTACGTTTCGTATACTTGAGTCAAGGACCGATCCCTGGCCAAAGGATCTCCGCGCACCGACAGTCATTGTATCATGTATACCTACGCATCCTGTAGGGGATGAACCATCGCCTGACTTTACGCTGCCCACTCAATGGATGCAATCTCCTTCTGGAGGTGTAGTGATAGAACTTGCCTACCGAACTCTCAATACGCCACTGACAAGACAAGTTCGCGAAGAAGCGTCAGCATCATGGATCTGCTTGGATGGCCTTGACCTGTTGCCTGAACAAGGTTTCGCTCAATTCGAACTTTTCACAGGCAAGAGAGCTCCACGCAGGATTATGCGCGAAGAAGTGTTGAAATGCTGGACCGACGAACAAGGACATTCGAATCCTAACATGGTCCGCACGCGGCTTGAAGCGATGGATGAGCAAGAGCCTTGAGGGCAGTTTAGTATGGTAGATGATTCGCGTGCGCTCTACTACGTCAAGCACACATCTCACGATTAGTGAAACATCTTGTTAAGAGTTTGGTCTTCAGCACATCATAGCTTCATTGGCCAAGCTACCTACACTGGTTTTTCTTCGTCGCAAAAACAAGATTCGCATGTTGAATGCAGTGATCAAGGAAACGACAGCACAAAGCCAGACCTCACATCCACCTCAAGTCCCACTCGAGATCCCCGGGATACAGCCTCAACAACCTTCCTAGAGCTATTCCCTCTCAACCGCAGAATGCCTTGATGGTTCTGAAGCTGGCAATATCCACACAGACGTTTCCGGCGTAAACCTGCTTTTCGCGACCATCGCAGCTCCTAGATTCATAAATGAAGACTGCATTGAACATGTCATGTCAGCTCTCGTCCCCTTGGATCTAGCCCCTGGAGAAGTCTAAAATACATACCACGGCAGCTATCAGCTATAGCATTGACATCCATGGAGTTCTGGGGCAATGAGTAACAGCCTCCGTCGGGATTGGCGTACCGGGTGCCCTGGTTGGCCCGGCATTGGGCATCGCTGGAGAACAAGGTGAAGGTGACGGCTGCGTCTACGAGGGCTGCCTCGGAAGCCACGACAACTGCGGATGATACGTCTTTCTTGACGACTGCGGCGGCTGTGGCGGCCGATGGGAAGAGGAGAGGGATGGCGAGGAGGAGAGTGGAAAGCATGGATGAGGTGGTGGCAGGCATATTTGCTTGAGGCGTAAGATCTCGATGGACTTCTGATTAAAGCGATGAATGTTGATCTTGGAAGTTCGGTCGTTGAAGATGCTGTCTGTTTAGCTTCTAGAGATGGGTAGAAATAGGCAATACTTATACATCCTCATCGATGCCATGCCTCACGCGCATTCTGTGACAAAGATGACTTCTTTCGTGTACACTAAACGTTACGCTGAGAAGTGTAAGAAATGGCGTGAGATCATTCTCTCCAAACCAACAGCATCCGACAGCGTTGCACAAATACTCGGTGTATTTCCAAGTCCATCGATTGCGCTGAAAGCACAAAGACCTCAGCTCAACTATCACAAAGACAAAATTCAATTGAGAAGTTGGGGAGACGCGGGCATCTCTATGGCGTGATCCGGCTTACTTTGTATACACATCATTTCCATGGCGTGACCCGGCTTACTTTCTGTGCCCGTACCTCATCATCATTAGATTTGGACCGTCTAACGGACTCGGCATATAATGAACAACCATACTGAAACCATGTTAATGTGCACATGATCATGCGAAGACAGCGGTGTGTCGAGTTACAACCAGCTACGTCGCTGCGCGGACTCAGTTATACACGTAAAATGGAAGAAAGCAAATCAGCGAAGATGCTTCCGCCTGTGTCGTTGAACAAGATAAAATATATTGGTAAAAGTGACAGCATCAAGCCGCCCTCAATAGATCGAACAAGGAATAATCTACACAGGAAGATGAGGTACCCGAAAAACGGCCATCGGTCTATTGATCTACGCTTCGCAAAAGCAGGCCATGTATCGCTTAGAAGTTCATCAAATCTATTCCATGTTAGCTGAGTCACAATCATACACTGCCAGGGAAGGAGTAACATACCTCGTCCAAACAACGCCCTCTTGGTCCAGTCCATGGCGAGTAAACACCTTGTCCTGAGGCTAACACTCTGTGCAAAGTAGACGCCTCTCCATAGGTAGACGGCTAGTAGACCACCGCTCAAGCCGTAGCCGTTGTAGTCGAAGATGGCTGCGTTACCGATGTATGCCAAGCTACCCAGATGCTTGTACTCGAAAGCCTTGTACACCGCATCGTCCAGGTCACCGTAGTCAACGTTATTGAGAGCCATGCCGGGGGCTGCCTGGGCGATCTTGTTGAACTTGCGACCGAGGTATTCACCCTGCTGGTTAGCGCGCTGGGCGGTGGCGGGTAGGGATGTGAGCTTCGAGTCGATCTGGAAGAGCAGCTCTCTAAGCTCGCCAAAGTCCAGAGTGCCAGACTTGTCCTTGTCGTACTGTTCGAACAGCTTGTCTAGGCGGCGAAGATGGTTCGCGGCTTGTGGGAAGCGCTGCTTGACGCGTTTGGCGATGCCGCGCCAGTCCGAGTACGAGATCTGCAGCTTCTCGGGGTCCTTGCCCTTCTCCCAGGCAGTCGTGCGTAGAAAGTTGACGATATGATCAGAGACGTTGTTTTGGACGGTTGCGCAGTCACCAATGGCGTAAACGTCACCGAGAGGTGATCCGTTCAAACGAAGATGTGTGTCGGTTTCCAGAGCGTGCTTGTTGTTCTGTCCGTCGAGTTTGGCGGCGAGTCGCTTGCAGAGATCAGTCTGCGCAACACCAGTTGACCATAGACAGAAACCCATGGGGATCTCCTTGGTAACCACTTTGCCGTTTTCATCCTTTTGCGAGAAGAGGATCTTGTCCGATTGGACTTCTTTGACGCGCGAGTTTGTGAGGATGTCGACCGAGTCGTGGGCAAAACGTTGCTCAGCGTACTGAGATAGAGCCTCTTCGTAGGTGTTCAGGATGTGGCTTCGGGACTGAATAACGTGGACGGAGATTTCGTTGCGTAGAAGCTTGGGGTATAGCTTGCAGAGATCCTCGTTCAGCATGTCGAACAGCTCGGCCGCGAACTCTACGCCAGTAGGTCCACCACCGCAAACCACGAACGATAGAAGTCTTCGCCTTTCTTCGTCAGACGTTGTCGGTAGGCACGCGAACTCGAGGTTCTTGACGACCTGGTTACGGATAATCCTGGCATCGCTGATGTCCTTGAGGAAGTGGCAGTGTTCGAGACCCTTGACACCATGCGAGTTTGTGACTGATCCGACTCCGACGACGAGCTTATCGTAAGGAACGTAAAACCGTTGCTCCTGGCCTTTGGCATCTACAGCTGAGCACTCGATGAGCTTCTCAGAGAACTCCACGTCCTCGGCCTTTGCTTTGAGAAAGTGCCCGCGTACTCTCCTGACAATCTTTCGTACTGGTTCGACAAGGGACCGGAGCTCTAGCGTTCCGACGGTAGCGGAAGGTAGCATCGGCGTGAATAGGAAGGTATTGGACGGCGATATGACGACGACGTGGTAGTCATCCTGGTTCAGCTGCTTCAGAAGGGCCACGCTGCCCCAGCCCGTCCCCAGTATGACCAACTTTGGCTTGTGCTTGAGCTTCTTATTCTCGGGCGTTTCGTCGTCGTCGACGAAGTGGTCGGCGATAGGCAGGTTCTTTGGGCCTCCTCTCCTCGGGCTGAGTGCGAGTTCGGAGACGGGAATATCGGTCGCGATAGGGTCCTCGTTGTACGTGTAGGCGTCGTAGACGAAGAAGGCGATAACCAAGACACCGCTGACGGCGACGAAAGAGCCAAGCATGGCTGCTGTTCGGTACGCATACCGAGCGAGACGTGATCGCGGAGCTTGGAGAGGTTTCGTCGAGACGGTTCGTATCGCGGTCGTGGTGGGGGTTTGCCTGCTTAATTGTGAGGTCTGTAGGACGGCGCGTCTCGCAGCGGATGCTGGGCTTCCATTGCTGAAGGATGTGCGGAATTGTGTGTTGGTCGCTCGCGGTAACCGTCTGCAGAGAATTGAGGCTCTGGACGTGGCATTGTACCCGCGCGACAGCGACGCGGCCTGTCGTGGGAGCATGGCGGGAATTTGGAGCTCGAGCGGAGCACGTGGAACCGGGAGAGGAAGCCGGCGATGAGATGGGATGGAGGTAGGCGCCTACGCGAGGGATGCCAGCAATTGACGGTTCAATTGCAAAATTAGAGATGAGAAGGCATAGGTAGATAGGACAAGCGAATGTAGTATGCAGATGCCACGGCGGCGTGGGAGCAGGGATAGGCGTCTCAGAGCGCGGAAATGTCAATCGGGGTTCTGCGTTACGTCACCATGGCAGATCGGAGCTTCGCGGGCCATCCTTGCATGGTTCCACCACCAACCAAGCTTCCACTGGGCCCCTGCCGCGTGCTTGTAACGTCTGCTGTCCCTGTCAGAACTATGTTTCCATGTCTCTTTTACATAGCCAGAAAGTGAGATGCAGCCTGCAAACAACGCGGATACATCTTTAAACCTCACTGTGAGCCCTTCATGTCTACCAGTGTACTGAACTTGTTCTTCACCAAGCATGCATCCCGCCCGGGCAGATTTCATGTTTGATTGAATTTAGCACGGCCACTGTGGATATGTCTGTATCGATATCCCGTCAGGAAGCGGCGCGCATGCGTCACAACTAACGTTGGGTGGAGGAGATCTTGGTCCTTGCAGTAGCATAAAATTGATTGGTAGTGATATCGTAATGCGTATCTTGCGACAGTACAACACTTTGCCATTTACATGACTGGCATATGCGCAGCCCGTTCTTATATACAATCCTCATCGCTTCTACCTCTATAGTTCTGCTAACACGACCAGACACCAACGGTACCGTCTCTACGTCCTTCAACCAGATAGCCATCCTTTATCCTGACGTGTTCGATGATGGAGTGTGTCGTCTTGTCGTTCTCGTCAGCTCCGGGTCCGCAGTCCCAGTGCCTTCCGTCTGTCTTGTCGTAAACCTTGACTACGTCCACACCCGCTGCAGACACAATTCGTCGTGAGTCGAACATCATGCTGCTGATGGCGTGGTCGTAAGCGTAGGCGTCGGCAATGGCGCCGGTTCGGAGATCCCAGATCTGTGCACGTTAGTTGGGCAACAGTCGGAGGAAAGATAGTTGACTTACGCGTATACTCCTGTCGGCACTACCAGTCACGAGATGGACATCATCGAATTGCAGGGCGGTGACAGGACCTGTATGGCCGACAAGACTTCGGTGAACTTGCCCGCTACGCAGATCCCATAGACGTACCATACCGTCGGCGGTACCACAGGCAAGTGCGGCATCGAAGCACTGGATGGCGCCTACAAAGTCGGCGGAGGAGTCGGCAGAGCGTCCCGTCTGTCGCCATGTGCTGTTAGAGGTGTTCGTAGCTGTAGCTTGGGCAGCGGCCCAGAGAACATCAAGCGTCTGCACGCATCGTCCCTTGACCAGATCCCATTGCCGTAGTGTCTTATCTGCAGAACCGGACACTAGAGTGTCGCCACGGAAATGTAGCGCAGTGACTTCGTCGACGTGTGATTCGAGGGAGAAGAGAGGGCAGTCTTGCATACTGGTCGACGGTGGCGCAGGGGGTGCGTCTTCTGAGTTCTCAAATGCCAGGCCATCGTCGCTCTCTTCATCGGGCTTGTTTATCCGGTTATCCATGGGCGCGTATTCGGCTTTGCTCAGGTCCCAGAGTTTTATCGAAGCGTCCATTGAGCCGGTTGCGACGATGTTTTCTTCGACCTGTAAGCAGCGCACGGAGGAGAGATGGCCCTCGAGCATTCCGATGCACCGGCCGGCGCTCAGATCCCATACTCGTACTGTGTCGTCTAGCGATGCGGTCACCATCATGCCCCACGGAGCATCAAAGTCCATGGCGGTGATGGCGTCCATGTGCGCGGGCAGTTCCTTAATCTTGGATCCTGACTGCAGATGCTCGTGTAGTACGGGCATGGACATTCTCTTTGACAGCCTCTTGGCCTTGTTCTTCGTCTTGGGCGAGGAGGGTATCTTCTGGTATATCGACTCGGACATGAATTCGCCCTTGCCTTCTGACTGCTCGTCGCTTGTCTGCGACCCTGCCGTCTTGGGCGCCAGTGCGGCTTCGTCGTCCAGCTCTTCTTGCAGGTCCTCGATGCGGTTGTCCACGGTCAGCAGGTCCTGCTCCAGCTCGCCCTCTTCGATTTCGAGCCCCGCCAGACGGTCGAGGACCATCTTGCGCATGGTATTGAGGTTGGCGATCTTGTTGTCGATTTCGTGTATCTCGGCGACGCACATGTGCTTGCGCACGCCCATCATCTCGAGGCGGTGGCCCATGCTGTTGCGCTGCTTCCGCAGCTTCTGCATCGAGGGGGGCACATTGGGATCGTCGTCGTCTTCCCTGCCACCGATCAGGCGCTGGCCGCGCGCGTTGTGGCGGCCATGTTTCTTCGCATGGCTGTCGGGGGCGTCGGGCAGCGAGGCCTCGAAGCCCTGGAAGAGGGAGAACTCGGCGTTGTCCTCGGGGATGTTGGAGAGCAGGTCGTTGGGGATGTAGGCGAGGGCGCGCTGCTGGATCTCGGGGACGGAGATTCGCGAGCGCACGATCTCGCGGGGGGTGGTCTGGGCGAAGGAAAAGACGGAGCGCTGCATCAGCGGGCGCCTGAGCTCGCGGTGGAGCTCGCCAATGGCGTTCTGGTAGTGCTGGGTGACTCCTTCGGCGCCTATCAAGCTGCCGGCGGTGGCTGTGACTTTTTTGCCAAAAGCTTGCAGATGGCGGGTCTAGCGAGCATTAGCATCACCGTGGGCTCAGGGAAGGTGCGGTGGGGCTACATCGGGGAGCGAGTCTATGAAGCTGCTCTCGTCGTCGTCGTCAAAGGCCTGCGAGTACCGCGGCGAGCGCGGGCTGGTGGACCGGCCGCGACCTGGGGATCCATTGCGGGCGGTGGACGAGGCCATGCGAGCAGGCGTGGCGGGAGACTCAACGGGCGGCGCAGTGGAGGAGACGTCGCTAGGGCATCCTTATCTTCGCATTAGGATCTCAGAACAGGTGCTCGCGTGTGCTACAAAAGGCCAATAGGCGGTGAGGCGGGAGGCGGGAGGCGGGAGGCGCGTCGGGTGCTCGAGATGGTGATAGTGGTGTTGCGGAGGGGAGTGACTATCGAGCTCACCAGTCGGCACCCGCCTGCGTCATCCGCCGAAGAGCACGCCGATGCTCGGGACACGACCGGACTGCCATGGCTGCAAACATCACTCACCCGCATATCTGCCCTTTTGGGAGCTTGAGAAGGAACTATGGACGCGATTGACCTCTCCGACGCGTCCAAGGCGCTTGACCTGGCCAACATCCGCTTCCAGCTCATGTACGCCTCCCCGCCATGCGCGCCTGAGTCCTACTGACAGCACATAGTCGGCTCGAGGACACAATCACCTTCCACCTGATCGAGCGCGTGCAGTTCCCCCTCAACCGGACCATCTACGTGCCCGGCGGCGTCGACATTGGCGAGCCCGAGACCAGCCTGTTCGACTGGATGCTCCGCGAGCAGGAGCGCCTGCAGTCCCTCGTCCGCCGCTACCAGTCGCCCGACGAATACCCCTTCTTCCCAGAGGTCCTCCAGGAGCCCATCCTCAAGCCCCTCAACTACCCGCAGATCCTGCACCCCAACGATGTCAACGTCAACGCCCAGCTGAAGGACTGCTACATCAAGCACATCCTGCCCGCCGCATGTCTGCAGACAGACCGCGAGGACAGGGGAGAGTCGCAAGAGAACTACGGGTCCTCTGCCACCTGCGATGTCATGACCATCCAGTCCCTGTCGCGGCGCATACACTTTGGCAAGTTCGTTGCCGAGGCCAAGTTCCAGCAGGAGACGGAGCGCTTCGTCAAGTTGATCAAGGACGAAGACAGGAAAGGCATCGACGAGGCTATCACGAATGCTGCGGTGGAAAAGAAGGTGCTGGAGAGACTGAGGTTAAAGGCCAAGACGTACGGCACAGACCCGGACCTGGGCGCGAACGGCTCGTCCAAGGTGAATGCAGACGCGGTTGTTGGCATGTACAAGGTACGTTCAGTGCTCTCATTCATTCATACTGCGTACTAACAGATAATACAGGATTGGGTCATTCCTCTAACAAAAGAGGTTGAAGTCGAATATCTCATGCAACGACTAAAAGGCACACAATGGGAATAGACCCGCGCACAATCAAGAACAACAATACTGCCCGATACCGTGAACCAATCCGCCCTTACACTCTAGATACGTGACCGATTTGGACCGTTTGCCGCGAGTTGCCTTTGAGCTTTTCCGTTGCCCCAACAGCATACTAATAAACACTCGACCCGTCTAGTCCAGCTCGTGGAACTTGACAACGTGGGGCTTCTGGGCTTCGCACTCGAGCTTTAGATCTTCTCGCGAGTACCCCTGGGCACGGCGAGCCTCCTCTTTCCACTCATCTAGCTTCTGCTCCAGCCTCCCCTCACACGTGCTGAAGTATTTCCGCCAGATCAAGTGCCCAAAAGCGCTGCAAGTCATCGCCAAGTTCATCGCAGCCATCAACGCAGGTAACGATTCGATGGACGGACCAGACTGACTCAACAAGCAGCCCATCGTGATTCCAGTAACCAGGCATAGTCGCTGGTAATAGTCCCCTCGGTTCATGTCGTACTGCATCCAGTAGTCCAACATGGACATAATCGTGACGAAGATAACGAAGCCGGTTGACGGATTCGTGACGATCCTCGGCTGTCTCGCAGACTGACACTTATCGGTCGATTGCCGGCACCCGTAGTAATTCTTCACGATGTTGTGAAAGCCCCATTGCCCCCAGGCGAGCATGCATGTGAGTCCGAGATTGGAATTACGTCGCAGCTCGATCACGCCATAGACACGTCCGGCGAAGGGTATCCGGTTTCTCATGTGGTCGCGAACGATCGGTTCAGGCTGGCGCACCTCCTCATAAACCGTTCGAGCCTCGGGTGTTTCAGCAACAAATACCACCGGTCTTGTCGATGACCTGTCGTAGGCGCCTTGTGGTTTTGGATCAGTCGGCAGATCTGTATCCTCTTCTGAAGAGCTTTGGAAATCCTTCTCTGGGTACAATGCCTTTGGCTGCATACGAAAGCTATACACATTTGACTTCGTGATAGCTCGGAACTTTGCTGGCCAGTCTTCAGCCGTTTCCTTCGACTCTGGGTAGACGAGCATTACGTCGAGACCAAAGTCTCCAGCGCATTTCTCGCTATCGCAAGGCTGGGCATGACGAGGAGAGGCGCGGGCAAGGTACTTTGAGAGGCTGAAGTTGCCTGACATGTTGCTGATGGAGGGGTAGGTATCCTAGAATTGCGCGCGTAACCAATGAACCTTGTTGTTGGAAATCCAAAAAGCAATATCGGGAAAGTTTTCTAGGCGTTCTTGTGAGAGGATCTTTTATTTGAGTTGGAAGAGGCATATGACGTTCGGCTAGGTGTTCTCCTGATCGGTGTATATCTTACGAAGTGCTGACCGGATCGTCGGCATTACAGCTATCTTATGGCATCGTCTGTATGGTCGCTTTTAGCCTGCACCACTTATGGGCAGGCTTTAGGCTGGGGTACTACGTCAGAGGCTTGGCTTTGCATGCTTCTTCGCTCCAACCATTGCAAAGTACTTGGAAATGTTTTTGAGTGGCAGACGATGAAACAAATGACTAGTTAGTGAAGCAACTATTATCTGGTCAGAACTATAACACAACATAATGAATTGGAATTCGTCGAGAATTTCGTAGATCAACCTCCCATATCACTCAACTTCGTCTGCCCTATCAAAGTAGTCCGCCGATGGCGTGTAAGGCTTCCACCACAGTGTAAAACCATCCTTGGCCGCCTTGTACTTCTTCATCCCAGCCTCCTCATACCGCTTACCTTGCTCTTTTGACATACTGAAGCCGATGATTGCATGCGATGCATGATCAAATACGCTTGTTGTAGATTTTCGCCTCTGCATCATCACTCCAGCGAAGATGCCATTGAGAAAAACCTTAGGGGGGTTGGAGAAGCTGGTAGGGATCCATGTCTCTTCTGTGTCGCTGAAAGATACGGGGGGTGGTCGAGGATGAGAGCGAATTGCGTCGTTCTTGGATGACTTCGTACCGCTGGCCTTGCTGTTGAACTGCTGTTTGGTGTTGGCGGGGACTTGGATTGCAGATCCCTCCATCTCAAGGACCGTAGGCTTCCGCTTTTTCTTGCTGGGTACGTGACTTGCAGTTACTACAGGCATTGCCTCCGTCTCGTGCATGTGAGGAGAGCGTTTCGTTGCTGTGGGCTTTGGGTTGCTTTTGGTAGATCGAGTTGATATGACCGGAAGGAAGAGCTCGTCAGCCATACTGATTTCATTGCCGGCTTTCGACTTCCCAAGATTGTTCGAGGATCAAGGATGCTTGGTTTCGATTGGTAGTTCGGTGTGTCCATGATTAGGTTTGGTACGGTGCGAGAGATGAGCATCGTTGGTTCTGCGGGCGTTGTCTTTGGATTTCTTGGACGCCACTTCATTTGGGCGCGCGAGCTTTTGCACGCCAGCTGGGGTATTGCTGCGATTGAGATTCGACGCATCGAGCACAGTTTGTACTTCAGGGAGACGTCTGGGAACTTTGTTTCGGCTATGAACGATCGTCGGGGAGTTGCCGGTCTTCGGATTGTCGCTGTGCGTGTTGTGGGTGTTTGTCAGCTGATAATTATTGGTTGATTGATGGTTATTCGTGGATTGATAGTTGTTGTTGGGTTGATAAGCTTGGTAGTTGCTGTGATGGTGGACAGGTGCGGTATCCTGTCCTTTTTTGAACTGCGTCCACCCTCCCGGGCTACTCCGCGTACTCGTCAAGAAGCTTTCTTGCTCATGGTGTGTAGTGCTGTCATTGTTGCACATACCGCTAGATCCCATAGACTCTACTGTGGTGTTTTCCCCAGCACCCTCTCCAATCAAATCATCTGCTTCACTATCCGAGCCGCTCTCTTCGCTCACTGGGTCGATGATCTCTTCTTCGATCGATACTGCCTCGCTATCCGAGCTGATATCGTCGCTTTCCGTGTCATTTACCTCCTCATCATCCCCTTGGTCTGAGCCACTGACATCGCTTTCCGTGTCATTCACCTCCTCATCGTCCTCTTGGTCTGAGCCACTAACATCGCTTTCCATGCTACCTGTCTCTAGTTCTCCATCTTCCTCGTCTTCGTCTTCCTCGTCGTCATCGCTTGCTGACATCGAAAGATCTTCGCTAATCACACTGTCACTAAGCTCACCTTCCGTATCATTTGCTGAAGCGTCATCGGGAGCTTCGTCGCTCTCATTGCTTTCACTGTTGGCATATCGGTCCTCACCACTTTGTTCATCCCCACTGCCTGTGTAATCGTTGTCGAGGTCGTCCTGGCTATGGCCATAGCTAAAATTGCCTTCCTCGTCATAGGGTTCTTCGAGCTCAACGGAATCCATGAGTCAGACAGACAAACAATATCGGAACGGATAGGAAGCGCAGCAAGAGCGGATGGAACCGCGAGTGACGAGCATGAAACAATGCCCATGCCGACTGTTTATACTCAAGAGCACGTCTGGAGAAGTCGGCATTCTGCGTACGTACCCGTTGTTGGGAGAGGCTTTGTTCCGCGTGTACTGTATTCCATGCATGCTGCCATCGATTTGCTGACTTGGGTATCTTGACCTTGTGGTCCGACCGGTGAGCAACGGCAGCAGGACGGGTACTTACTGTGGTACACCTCCTCTTCTTGCAACACATTCCGCAATCAGTATATTGTAACAACACTCGTGACTGGTCGCGTGTGACAGATGATGGTAGATGCCGGATCTTTTTGCCCCTACATGCAAGTATTCATCTGGAAGCTCGATCTCCAAATGTGCAAGACAGAAAGGTTCCTGTATCATCTCGCGTCCAACGAACTTCCAAACTCACTGGATGTACAACACAGGTACATATGGTGTACTCTTCAGTGTCGTTGGTCCGGTCTTACCCCTCCATCTGCCCATGTGTATTGTGGCAGCGTCTTACGTGTCATCTTGTGTAAGACGTGTGCCCATACCGATCCGCTGTCTGAGCACCGAGCATCAGATATGGTCGAATGGCTCCAGCCACATTCATGAGCGGTAGAACATGAGGTATTTGCCAACCAGCTTTCGCTAATCACGACGTGGTTGTCTCTTTCTTGTCTATAGATCCGCAGTAAGAATATTTTCTGACTTTGTGCATCGTTGCCGCGCCCATACATTCAATGGTTTATCGGTCCTATTGACGCCAGGGCAGTATTGTCTACCCGACAGCCTCCGACATATTAGCAAGATGTTCAGTGATCCATCGAAATTAAGGCAGATGCCGTCAGGTCTCAAAAGCAACAACGAGATCTCCGAGAATGACGGAACGGAACCGTAAAATATTCGAGTGCCGTCTCAGATCTCTGTGTACCTTGATAGTCGCCTTGTGCACGGTGGGTGCAGTAAGTTTGAGTTCATTGTCACGCATGCCAGTCCTTGAAGGTAGATGTGCACCTGGGTCGTAAAGTTTTCGTTCAGCGTTGAGCGTGAGCCCACGATCGCGGGTCCAAAAATAGCAAATATAGCGTGCCGCCGGACAGACTCCGATGGTGCGTCAGTGGTGTTGGTGTCATTGTTTAGCTCCTGGCTCCGTCTTTGAGCGTGGACCCTGGGCGCGAGCCATCCAGGTGATCGGCAGCCACAGCCGCAACAACCGGCTCGATGATGCCATTCCTGCCAGATGTCACGGCTCAACTTTCCACCATCTCGGTTCAACCCCAAGCGACGTCGTATTTCGATCCTTCGTTCACGAGTGATCTCCATGCTAACCTTGAAATTATTCAAGGTGATGGAGGCAACCCCGATTACTGATATTACGCTCGTCCCCACACTCGGACCACCCATTTCTGTGGACGATGAGGTCGTTCGGGAACGGACCGATCGAACTCTACGAGATTGCAGTCATCATTCACGCGGCCGACGTACTCAGGTCCACAGCACTCAGGCTCTACTTCAGGAACATAGGACATCTCTTTTACGCTTCCAGTGTGTCGCTAAGCTACCTTGGTATAGTGGTTCGCGAGCACTCTAGGGTATACCGCGTTGATACGAATGTGGAAGAAGCAGTCGCCTACCATCGCATGTACGGTGTTGCAACGGCCATCAGAATACATATAGCCAGGACGTCATGCCGTTAGTTTTCCGAACTAAGGCCATGCACAGCCGATCGGCCAGCGCCCAATGCATACCTGGTTCATCCTACTAGACGTCACATCTCGTATGTTTAGCACGATCCAAGCTCGGCTAGGTCTGCCAACTGCCCGGATAGGACATGCCTGTCGCCTCATCCGGTCACCCCGGATGCCGCTACTGGTTCGTGACACCGTTGGCAAGGGTACTGAGGCTCCAAAAATTGGGGTAGAGTGTGGTTTCGGCGCTCTCGGCATGGTCTGAGGCTCGTGTTCCTGGAGAAATTTCATGGTACACCTTTCTCGTATGTTCTAGTGGGTAAGGTCAAGGGTGACGCCTGGTGTCAATCTTCTCGTATTGAACCTTGGGACGAGACGGACATGATGATCGTGGCAGGAGTACAGTACCCTAGATACGAGGTGGGATGACTATATAATGCCAGTGAGTATCTCACTTCTAGCCACCATCAACCACCAACTCTCACACTCAATTACAACCTACCACACTTTCCAACACTTCATCCCAACTTCAAACCAACTCCATCAAGATGCAGTTCACCACCATCGCTTCTCTCTTCGCTGCCGCTGCCGTTGCCAGCGCCGCACCTCTCGAGGCCCGCCAGGTCGACGCATCCTGCCCAGTTGCCACCCAGGGTGACTACGTCTGGAAGATCTCCAACTTCTTCGGACGCAAGCCTGAGGGAACCTACTACAACAGCTTCGGCTTCAACATCAAGGCTACCAACGGAGGTACTCTCGACTTCAACTGCTCTTCCCAGGCCGACAAGCTTGAGGACAACAAGTTCTACTCTTGCGGCGAGAACAGCTTCATTGACTTCGCTTTCTCAAGCGACCGTTCCGGTCTGATCATCAAGCAGGGTGTCAGCGACGAGTAAGTTCTTCCCATGCCTTTTAATGCGCAGTTCGTTCAAATTTGCTAACATTCCCTCAGCCTCACCTATGTCGGTACCACCACTCTTCCCAGCTACTGCCGTGCTGGTGGTAACGGCCCTCAGGACTTCGTCTGCCAGGGTGTCTCTGATGCCTATGTCACCTTCGTCCCGCTTCCCGCCGCCGCCGCCCCTGCGTGCCCGGCACCCAGCCAGTACTGAGCATAGGCTATGACCTTCCTCAGTGTTCATGATTCTCTCAGCGCTTCCTGTATAGACATTCCTTAGAGCCTAGACCTAATGCAACATTAATTTCCTCATCGTCTGTGCCACTATGACTACGACGACGACACCGTGCTATATTTGTGCCAGTTATGTACTTGAGAGCTACAAGGAAAAAAGGACAATTGATTCATCGGACAGATAATTTTGGATTCAACATCGCATGCAGGGCATTGATACAAAGAGTAACGAAGTCCTGGACGCGCAAACCTCGCGCTTGCCTTGAATAGCACAACACCAGGACGTGAGCGCAACAGCGTCTGACTCCATACAAAACGTGCAGTCCACGTCAAACCACCATCCACAGCTCGCACGAGAAAAATGATGCCTGAAACACACGTCGCGCGAAACTGTCATCCTTGAAACCTCAAACCTCCTTCCCACGTGACACGCGACGCGAACTATAACACCATCGTTAACCCCCGAACTTGCCATCACCAAAACCGCGTGCAACAAACGCCGCCATGTCGCTCCTCGCCCGCGCAAAAGACCTAGCCTACAATCCCGACCACACAAGATGGATGACTCCGCTGCTGCTCGTAGCAGACGCCGCGCTTTCAGGCGTGATAATCGAGAAGATACCTTGTTCGTGCTCCTTTCTCACTCATCGAAAACGTACCACGTGTCCTAACAACGGAATGTCTAGATACGGAGATTGACTGGACAACGTACATGCAGCAGATAGCCATCTTTTTGAAAGGCGAGCGCGACTATAAGAATATTGCTGGTTCGACAGGTCCGCTCGTGTACCCTGGTGCGCATGTGTGGATCTACAAGCAGCTTTACAAGTGGACGGATGAAGGGCGGGATATCGCCCTCGCGCAGTATATTTTCGCGGGAGTGTATCTGCTTACGCTTGGTGTGGTGTTTCAATGCTATAGGAAGGCGAGGGTGAGTACTTTCCCGTTCTAGCTGTCATTGTTGGAGGGGGTCATCGAGTGGAAGCTGACATGTTGATAGGTTCCACCGTACATTTTCCCGCTGTTGATTCTTTCAAAGCGCATGCATAGCATTTTCATGCTACGATGCTTCAATGATTGTTTCGCGGTGCTATTCTTCTGGCTGGCTGTCTTCTGCTACCAACGCGATCAATGGCACCTGGGGAGCGCGCTGTATAGCACAGGGTTGAACGTCAAGATGAGCCTGTTGCTGCCTCTACCAGCAATGGGTATTCTCATGGTCATGAAACTGGGTGGAAGAGAAGCCTTGACACAGGCCATGATTATCGTGCAAGTTTCGGTAAGTAAATCATCGCTCACGGAGTCTTATCAATTGATCCTAATCAAACTGCAGGTTTTGTATGGCTATCCCTTCAGGAAGCGCGCACCAAGCTATTTCGCCCGCGCTTTCGAGCTCAGCCGTGCATTCCTCTACAAATGGACCGTCAACTGGCGCTTCGTCCCGGAATCTACGTTCCTCTCACGCCCCTTCGCCATTGGCTTACTCGCCTTGCATGTTGGCCTCCTTATCTGGTACGCGCGAACCCGCTGGATCAAGCCCTCGAAGCGCAATGTCAAAGAATTCCTCAAGCTTTGTATTCCAGCCATTGAGCCCCGGGATCAGGACACCATGTCCAGCAAAATCACCCCAGATTTCATTATGACGACGATGCTGACCGCGATGACCATTGGCTTACTGTGCGCGCGTAGTCTACACTACCAGTTCTACGCGTATGTCGCGTGGTGTACGCCATTCCTGCTATGGAAAGCAGGCTTCAATCCGGCCGTTGTGTATGCGTTATGGGGTGCGCAAGAGTGGGCGTGGAATGTGTACCCGAGTACGTCGGCAAGCTCGGCGACAGTCGTGGGCGTTCTGGCGATTACGGTCGGAGGCGTATGGTGGGGAACGAGGAAGGAGTACGAGGGCGTGACGAAGGGCATAATTGAGGAGGACCATGCGCACGCCGAGTGATGCGTCGAAGAACTCAGTCCTCGTCTGAGTCGCTGGGCGGCATCTTGCCGACGGTCGATTCCTCGTCGTCGCTATCTTGGACGTACGTCGACTTCTTTACGAACTCCTTGGGCCTGTATACTATTGTTAGCGCTCTATACACATACTACATGATACCCGGCTGGAAACATACCAGTAG